TGAAGTGTTAAAGTGGCGTGAAAAGAAAAGCTGCAACAGCTGGTTTTTATCAGATGTTCTTGTTTATGACAATACTGGAACAGCTGACTCATACCTTGTTCGCTCTGTTAAGCTAGTTTTACTTTATGCATCCATCTTAACGTCTATCCTAATAGTAATATCTACTCTGATGTTTACCATCAGTGGTCAAGACTTCTTGGATAATGCCCGTTTTAATACTTTTTCCACTTAATTCCTTGTTACTGACTTACGTAAACGAATGACACTTCACCCAACGTATGTTTTTTATTGCTTTGGACTCCTGCCAATTTTCGTTATAAATGTAGCGTATTCTTCGCTTTAGTATGTCATCTAGATTCCAGTCTAGTGACCGACTAGTGACCACTAGTGACCACTAGTGACCACTAGTAACCGACGAAGATAGATAATTCTTTGGTTATCACGATCTGTTCCTCACAGGCTATTGCACTATCAGGCTCCTCAACCTGGAGCAACCATTGTGCTCACATGTCATAACTCCCAAACACATTTTCTTTATTTGAACCATGGAACGTTTAGTATAGGACGAGGATTGGAGCTATGCATCTGAATAATATGACTATTCATTATGCGTGGTATGGGACAAAACCCTGCAGCAGACTACATTTAACACTGTTTTATTATGATTATCATGTCCGAGTTGACTTTTAAATGTCCTTTAAAATCATTGCGACTGGGATGGCGTCCTAAGCCTATGTTACTCCCAGAGACTATGTCACTATTGGTAAGATACTCTCTGCTCAGTCTATTCGAACAATTGTTGAACAATACAACAACAAATACAAGAGTATTTGTAATGCATTTTCACAGTCTATTCGAACAATTGTTGAACAATACAACAACAAATACAAGAGTATTTGTCATGCATTTTCACAGTCTATTCGAACAATTGTTGAACAATACAACAACAAATACAAGAGTATTTTTCATGCATTTTCACAGTCTATTCGAACAATTGTTGAACAATAAAACAACAAATACAAGAGTATTTGTCATGCATTTTCACAAATAAAACAGAGGTTCAGAACAAGTAACACCTACTCTATGCTATGATATCGGTCTAGCAAATTTATATTCGTTCCTGCTTATTTCTCAGGTGTCAGGTAATTGGTTGATATCAATTAAATAGATATAACTAGTTTTAAAGCTTATTAACAATAATACAAATAGTGACAGGCCAGAAAAAAGTACGTCCCCAACCATTACGCGTTTGGATCACCAGATATTATTCAGTTCAATAAAAAAACACTGATCGGCTAAAAATATGAGCGCTACAGTAATGTGCATGTATGTGATAACCGTCAAAATGATCACCAATTTGGTAACAGTTCTATTGTAGTACACCAAGGACAATGACTTGTCAGGCGCTGTCAAGATACTTGCTGTTGGTTTACCTTTCCGGTCTCATAGCAGGTGAGATTGTTCGGTAATAGTAAATTATATAAACTGAGTCATCTTAAGGGGGCCGGGGGGGAAGGGGGGCTTTATGGAAACTATTTGGAAATGGACTTATAAGTATCGACTTCATTACATTGATAAATACTATTATATCGATTTCTCCAAATTTTTCAGCGCCAGATAAAAATATATTTAATAGGTTGGACGATTCCAGACAACACCCATATTCCACTGACCCTTGATCAGACCTTGGAGGTGAAGACAACTGAGCTGTTCAGTACCGGTAACGCCTTCACGGTATGGTTCCACCCTTACAGCAGTGTTCAATACTTCCTCAACATGCAGTGTAATAATGACGGATGTTCTCAGTGGTCGTATGTTGTGAAAGAGTGCATGACCAACTCCTTCGACCACCGCTACCTCACCACCACCTCGGGTGGGGACAAGTTGTGGAAAGTAACGAGGGGGTGGGATTTCTTGACTCTTCAGTGTAATGGAGTAACGGTTCTGAGCTGGAACTATCCTTCCAGCTACATTGACGGGTTTACTCAGTGTGCCAGCGTGTGGCAAACCCAGTTTACATCTGTAGCAGTTGACTCAAACGGCAGTCCCATAACTGGGCTACAAGCTGGGGCAGTGTACGTGAGGAAATCTGGTAAGTATGGGCTACAAGCTGGGGCAGTGTACGTGAGGAAATCTGGTAAGTAGGGGCTACAAGCTGGGGCAGTGTACGTGAGGAAATCTGGTAAGTATGGGCTACAAGCTGGGGCAGTGTACGTCAGGAAATCTGGTAAGTAGGGGCTACAAGCTGGGGCAGTGTACGTCAGGAAATCTGGTAAGTATGGGCTACAAGCTGGGGCAGTGTACGTAAGGAAATCTGGTAAGTATGGGCTACAAGCTGGGGCAGTGTACGTCAGGAAATCTGGTAAGTAGGGGCTACAAGCTGGGGCAGTGTACGTCAGGAAATCTGGTAAGTAGGGGCTACAAGCTGGGGCAGTGTACGTAAGGAAATCTGGTAAGTAGGGGCTACAAGCTGGGGCAGTGTACGTAAGGAAATCTGGTAAGTAGGGGCTACAAGCTGGGGCAGTGTACGTGAGGAAATCTGGTAAGTATGGGCTACAAGCTGGGGCAGTGTACGTGAGGAAATCTGGTAAGTATGGGCTACAAGCTGGGGCAGTGTACGTGAGGAAATCTGGTAAGTATGGGCTACAAGCTGGGGCAGTGTACGTGAGGAAATCTGGTAAGTATGGGCTACAAGCCGGGGCAGTGTACGTCAGGAAATCTGGTAAGTAGGGGCTACAAGCTGGGGCAGTGTACGTCAGGAAATCTGGTAAGTAGGGGCTACAAGCTGGGGCAGTGTACGTGAGGAAATCTGGTAAGTAGGGGCTACAAGCTGGGGCAGTGTACGTGAGGAAATCTGGTAAGTATGGGCTACAAGCTGGGGCAGTGTACGTGAGGAAATCTGGTAAGTAGGGGCTACAAGCTGGGGCAGTGTACGTCAGGAAATCTGGTAAGTAGGGGCTACAAGCTGGGGCAGTGTACGTCAGGAAATCTGGTAAGTAGGGGCTACAAGCTGGGGCAGTGTACGTAAGGAAATCTGGTAAGTAGGGGCTACAAGCTGGGGCAGTGTACGTCAGGAAATCTGGTAAGTAGGGGCTACAAGCTGGGGCAGTGTACGTAAGGAAATCTGGTAAGTAGGGGCTACAAGCTGGGGCAGTGTACGTCAGGAAATCTGGTAAGTAGGGGCTACAAACTGGGGCAGTGTACGTGAGGAAATCTGGTAAGTAGATCTCTACTTTCAGGAGAGATTGGGGGGGGGGCCAACCATATTAAAGTATATTAAAATGTAGGATTTTTCCCGATTTTGACCCGGGGATATACTTTAATATACTTTAATGTACTTTAATATACTTTAATATATCCCTATCTCCTTGGAGGCCTACATCAAAAATTGTTACCCAAAATAAGCTTGAAATGCAATTCTTAATCGATTCCAAAAAGTTCTTGAAAAAATATTGAAAACTGATGGAGTTATTTCAATTTTAATGAAGTCATTTTGGCTAGTATTCCGAACCGAGATATTATGTGCAATTTTCCCAATTTTGTTCATGGAGGTCTTTTTACTTAGTATCCACTATATTCAACAAACACTGAGTTATATCTTTCACATAGAGTTAGTCTCATTAAAAAATATTGAAATTTTATCGAATTTGGGCAAAAGCGAATTTGGGCAAAAGCGTATACCCAAATATGGGCATATTTTTTAAAGCTCATAGCTCAGCCAATTTTTGACCAATCTGGATGGAAATTCATGTACTAGTCCTAAAACAGGCTTATCTTGCGAATCTGAGTGAAAAATATAGTTCTTCATGTAAATCTTAACGAAGAATATAAATCTTCTAATTGTAGGTATATTAAAGTATATTAAAATGTAGGATTTTTTCCGATTTTGACCCGGGGATATACTTTAATATACTTTAATATGGTTGGCCCCCCCCCCAGAGATTGTAAAAATCAGCTGTTTAACTTGAGCTAATTCAGGGTCCGATCTGAGAGACTTAGAGACAGCCTGATAGTAATTGACTTGTTGTAAACAGATGATAGCTGAGAATACCCTGACAACTCTTTATCCCCACAGCACCTTGTTCAGAGATACCACCACAATGGGACCACGTGACATCCTCCGCAAGCTTCCCTGTAGACCCAGGAGCAGTGATCACAGTGTCCTGTTCCCCTGGTTACGAGATGACAGGGGATGCGGTGGTAACGTGCTCCGGCTACAATGATTTCGTGTACAAAGTAAAGCCTCAGTGCCAACTAGGTGAGTATGGGATATTTCTTAGGTTTCTAGCAAGCATGGCTACTCCACAGCATTTCCATTGTTGTTATCTGATTATAGTGCCTTATCAGTTATCACAAAGAGTGTGTATATGTAATTTGTAAGATAAAAATACGCTAAACATTGTCTTAGTACAGTTAATACAGCCATTCATTTAGAAAGCTTGAGCTCTTAATCCCGACCTTAACCGCTCTTTAACATCTCAGAAAAGTGCGGAGCTCTACCGGACAGTTGGAGCGACTACCTGAGGACCACACCGTCCCTACCAGTGTCACATGGCACTCACGTGATGCTACACTGTAGTCAAGACAACCTTCTGTTGCTAGGCGACAGCTCGGTAAAGTGTATGACAAAACGTCAATGGGAGTACAGAGCCCTGCCCCAGTGTGTAGTCAAACCAGGTAATTAGTGGGAGATAGTAGATGTAGTAGATCTGTCATGTAGATGTAGTAGATCTACTATCTATAATTTGTTAGTGCGCGCCGGTAAGCCCTACCATTTAGCCGATGGCCTCACTCTAAAGTCTCGCCTTATGAAACCCTTACTCAGATATCGTCGACAACAAAATACTGCAACTATGATATCCATAGACTGTAGCTATAAGATAAAGTGTACCTAACAAACAACAAAATAAATATTTAATAAAATGTATAATACAGTAACCATTACCAACCTGGAGCTATTATAATATCTTTGTAGATGAATATATAATACAGTAACCAACCTGGAGCTATTATAATATCTTTGTAGATGAATGTTCCCATGAGAAGTAGCACGAACCCAGCAAGCTCGTACCCAATACGACGAGGGTTTGTGTTCTCCCACCCCACACATAGCCCAAACCCCCAAACTAGGATCGTCCTCAGGGAATCTGAGGAGGGTCGGGGTTTAAGGACGGGGAAATTGATATTTGGTTGGTTGCTATAGTTACTGACAATTCTTGAAATTGTTGTTGGAACTTTTGAAATAGTTGAAATAGTTGAATTACCAATGATCATGCGGGTAGTAGCATTGAGATAGGTGGTGACGCTCACACCCGACCAGTTAAACACAGCGATACTCAGGATGAGGCCCACCGAGGCCAGTATCAGTTGTTTACTGTGTATTACCTGAAGGGGAATGTATAATGTATATAATGTATATAATGTATATAATGTATATAATGTATATAATGTATATAATGTATAATGTATAATGTATAATGTATAATGTATAATGTATAATGTATAATGTATAATGTATAATGTATAATGTATATAATGTATAATGTATAATGTATAATGTAAGAGGGAAACTGTATTTTGGTGACGTCACATCAATGGTGAGGGTGATTTGTGAGGCTCCTTAGTGATTATGTAATGTGTGCAACTGTGACATAAACCCAAGAAAAATGGTATAAATCAGATAGCTCAGTCGCCCGAATCATTCGTGAAATCTCATAATATTATCACTACCACCTGCAGCAGACCATCTATAGGGTTCTCCAGATGATTAAGTACATCCTTAATGTTGCTCTCGTTGCAGTAAGGATCACTCATGTTGACACTTGCGTCCTGATTAACGATTTTGTTGGTTATCAAAAGCTACTGTGTTACTTACGCCATGACAACGCCATGACAACGCCATGACAACGCCATGACAACGCCATGACAACGCCATGACAACGCCATGACAACGCCATGACAACGCCATGACAACGCCATGACAACGCCATGACAACGCCATGACAACGCCATGACAACGCCATGACAACGCCATGACAACGCCATGACAACGCCATGACAGTAAAGACATCAAGACTCAAGAGGCAAAGATTTAGTAATGCCTTAAACTATTTTGTCTTTTTTTAAGTAACATTCCAAATAAAGAAGTATGACTCTGACCTGGTTAAAATCAGAGATAACAGAACTAATCTGTTGAGGGAATTGAGGGATGTAGTAAAAGATAAGGTTTAGTAAGAGCGATGATATCAGACCCCAGGTCCCCTCCCACCCCACAACCTGAGAAAATTCAGTCTGTCAGCAGCCTGGCAGTCAGTCAGCAGCCTGGCAGTCAGTCAGCAGCCTGGTATCAATAACCGGAATAAATAGAAAGTAAATAGAAAGCAGAACATGTACCTACAAACTCTAAAAACTTCCACAGTATACTTGCTGTAATACACCAACCTGCAAAGCGGGTACGTCATACTGACTGATATACACCAACCTGCAAAGCGGGTACGTCATACTGACTGATATACTTCTGCTCCGTTATCATCTGAATGGCGACTATCAGTTGAGCAGCTAGGATCAACACAGATCCTATCATAGGGCTTCTAGCGTCCTTATTTCCAGCGGCTGCGGCTGCTGAGTCTCCAGCTGAAATAGTGGCGATGTGAACAGAGAAAGGTCTTACTAGAGGAGGTGTTATTAGAGGAGGTGTTACTAGAGGAGGTGTTACTAGAGGAGGTGATACTAGAGGAGGTGTTACTAGAGGAGGTGATACTAGAGGAGGTGTTACTAGAGGAGGTGTTACTAGAGGAGGTGTTACTAGAGGAGGTGTTACTAGAGGAGGTGTTACTAGAGGAGGTGTTACTAGAGGAAGTGTTACTAGAGGAGGTGTTACTAGAGGAGGTGTTACTAGAGGAGGTGTTACTACAGGATGTGTTACTAGAGAAGGTGTTACTAGAGGAGGTGTTACTAGAGGAGGTGTTACTAGAGGAGGTGTTACTAGAGGAGGTGTTACTAGAGGAGGTGATACTAGAGGAGGTGTTACTAGAGAAGGTGTTACTAGAGGAGGTGTTACTAGAGGAGGTGTTACTAGAGGAGGTGTTACTAGAGGAGGTGTTACTAGAGGAGGTGTTACTAGAGGAGGTGTTACTAGAGGAGGTGTTACTAGAGGAGGTGTTACTAGAGGAGGTGTTACTAGAGGAGGTGTTACTAGAGGAGGTGTTACTAGAGGAGGTGTTACTAGAGGAGGTGTTACTAGAGGAGGTGTTACTAGAGGAGGTGTTACTAGAGGAGGTGTTACTAGAGGAGGTGTTACTAGAGGAGGTGTTACTAGAGGAGGTGTTACTAGAGGAGGTGTTACTAGAGGTAAGAGGAGGTGTTACTAGAGGAAGTGTTACTAGAGGAGGTGTTACTAGAGGAGGTGTTACTAGAGGAGGTGTTACTAGAAGAGGTTTTACTAGAGGAGGTGTTACTAGAGGAGGTGTTACTAGAGGAGGTGTTACTAGAGGAGGTGTTACTAGAAGAGGTGTTACTAGAGGAGGTGTTACTAGAGGAGGTGTTACTAGAGGTAAGAGGAGGTGTTACTAGAGGAGGTGTAACTAGAGGAAGTGTTACTAGAGGAAGTGTTATTAGAGGAAGTGTTACTAGATAAGGTGTTACTAGAGGTAAGAAGAGGTGTTACTAGATAAGGTGTTACTAGAGGAAGTGTTACTAGAGGAGGTGTTACTAGAGGAGGTGTTACTAGAGGAGGTGTTACTAGAGGTAAGAGGAGGTGTTACTAGAGGAAGTGTTACTAGAGGAAGTGTTACTAGAGGAGGTGTTACTAGAGGAGGTGTTACTAGTTTATTATTCTTATTCTAGGACTGATTCTTACCCCAATCACTACTCTTAATTTATATTTTGATAAAGGTTACCTCCCAGAATTGCTGTCCAGCTGGACCAGACGTTCACTTTTAGTTATGACCTATAATAAAGTAAAATATGGATAATAATTTAAAATAACCAGTAATAACAGAGGCGGTTTTAACTATTGTTAATTATTGTTATCAGATGTACTGAGGAGTGCACAAAATAATGGCAAACAACCCACTTATAAATAACTCGCAAACTTACTAGGACCACAAGGTTGCTGAACTTGATATTCTAAAAACTTATTACACTATTTTTATTTCACTTATTCAAATTAACATTGGTTATATTTCTCGCCCTCTTCAACTGAGATGATTTGTAAGCAAATCATATTATATTGAATCGTTAACAAAGTTGGGGCCCGAATATTTATAACAGTGGCAATTATATAATTTATAAGCATTTGTAAATTATACGGTGACCTTGTCATGACTTTAGCCACTACATAACCACGAGAAGACCCCAATTGATCAATTAGTCTATTGTTAAGCAGATCAACAACCAATACGCTGGTCACAACCTCATTAAAATGAACCACGTCGGCATTTCGTATAGCTGGACTATAAGCAGAATTCTAGAGTCAGTAGACCTCTATTTGGACTAAGTCAGTAGCTTAACAACGCGAGACTTAGGCAATATAATTACTGTTCTAGCAGCAACCAGTACCATTTCTAACCGGTCTAGCAGCAACCAGTACCATTTCTATCCAGTCTAGCAGCAACCAGTACCATTTCTATTTGTTCTAGCAGTAACCACTAACCAGTACCATTTCTAACCGGTCTAGCAGTAACCAGTGCCATTTCTATTAATTGTAACCAGTACCATCTAAGTTGTTTTGACTTTTTTACAATTAATTTCTTTATCTCGATATCTCGTTATCTCTTTATCTAGTTATATCGTTATCTTTATATCTTTACCTTTGAGTCGTTATGTCGTTGGGTAGTTATCTTAACCTGAGCACGCGAACATAGCGTTACCAAGGCGATATGACTCGAGGCAATATAACGTTCTAGTTGTAACCGAAACATAGTTTATTAGTTCTATCACCTAATGCATGTATCTCAAGATTGTTATGTTATCGTGTAAACTAGCAAACTACTTAAAGTAGCGTGTTAGAATGCTGAAGTCCGTAGGATTCGAGAAGCCACTGCTGCAATGCTATATTTTTCTAACCCAAAGTAAAAATATGTAGAGACATTCTTTAAATTCATTTTTCTAACATTATATCAGGATGAAGAGGATCTCTACAATGACTATAAAGCGCTTTGTAGTGATCTACTGGATATTCGGCTTCACCTCAGGGTCTGGAATTGATAGCGGTTAGTAGTTTTCAGACTTCACTATTACTTCACTGTTATTAGTTTTATCGTGTCAGTCTTCGTCCGCTCCGCAAATGAACGCTTGCTCGTCGAGTAAGTTGTTGTCTTTATAAATACTGGCAGAATTGTCTATTTCTATCGTTTGGTAATCTTCAGTTTATGAGGTGCGTCGTGCACGTGTGGGTCACTAAACACTATGCTGTAACTATGCTGTAACTATGCTGTAACTATGCTGTAACTATGCTGTAACTATGCTGTAACTATGCTGTAACTATGCTGTAACTATGCTGTAACTATGCTGTAATTATGCTGTAACTATGTTGTAACTATGCTGTAACTATGCTGTAACTATGCTGTAACTATGCCCAAATACAAATTCTAACTATCCGCTTACTTAAATTCCCACAGGCTGGATAACAGTTACCAAAGATACAAAAGTCAACATAGAGTCTTCTCCCCTGGAGATACAGACACACTCGCAGGGCAACCTGAGGATCATCTTCTACGGGAACGAGGGAAACGCGGGAAAGATCGACATAGAGGTTTCCAGTGGTACCTCAAAATACCGTCTAAATGAATGTATGAATAAACATGATGACTTCCATCCAAATATCATGACCGACGGAAATGCTAATATTTGGAGATTTTAAAAAAAGGGGGGGGCCCCTTTGTTTTTTGGGGGGGTTTTTTTTTTTTTTTTCCCCCGGGGGAACAAAAGGGGGGGGGAAAAACCCCAAAAGGGAAAAATTTAAAAAATTAGTTTTTTTTTTTGGGGGGGTTTTTTCAAAAAATTTTTCCCAAAAAAATTTTTTGGGGGCCCCGGGGGCCCGGGGTTCCCTTTCCCGGGGGAAAAAGGCTTTTTAAAAAAAATTTTTTAAAAATTTTAAAAAAACCCCCAAAAAAAATTTTTTTTAAAATTTTTTGGGCCAAAATTTTAAAAAGGGGCTTTGGGGGGGGGGGGGGGGAAAAATTTTTTTCCCAAAAGGGGACCCCAAAGTTTTTTTTTTTTGGGGGGGGCCCTTTTTTTTCCCCCCGGGGAAGGGGGGAAAAACCGGGGTTTTTTTTTTGGGAAAAGGAACCCCCGGGGGGGGGGGCCCCCTTTGGGGCCGGGGTTTTTTTGGGGGTTAAAAGGGGGGGCCCTTTTTTTTTTTGGGGGGGTTTTTTTTTTTGGGGGGGGGGGGAAAACCTTTTTTTTTTGGGGGAAATTTTTTAAAAAAATTTTTAAAAAAATTTGGGGGGGGGGGGAAAATTTTGGGGGTTTTAAAAAAAAAGGGGGGTTTTTTTTTTGGGGGGGAAAATTTTTTAAAAAAAACCCCCGGGGTTTTTTTTTTAAAAAAAAGGGGGGGGAAAAATTTTAACGGGGGGGGGGGGGGGGTTTTTTTTTTTAAAAAAAAAAAAAAGGGGGAAAGGAAAAAAAGGGGGGGGGCCCAGGGTTTTTAAAAAGGGAAAAAAAGGGGGGGTTTAAAATTGGGGGGGGCCCCAAAAAAAAAGGGGGCCCCCGGGGGGGGGGGTTTTTTTTAAAAAAGGGGGGGGTTTTTTTTTTTTAAAAAAAAAAAAAACCCCCCCCCCCCCCCCCCCCCCCCCCCCCCCCCCCCCCCCCCCCCCGGGGGGCCCCCAAAAATTTTAAAATTTTTTAAAAAAGGGAAAAATTGGGGGAAATTTTTTGGGGGGGGTTAGTTGTTTTTAAAAACCCGGGGGGTTTTTTTTTCCCGGTTTTTTGGGGAAAAAAAATTTTTTGGAAAAAAAAGGGGTTTTAAAGGGTTCCCCAACGGGGGGGAAAAAATTTTTGGGGGGAAAAAAAATTTTTTAAAAAAAATTTTTTTTTTTTTTGGGTTTCCAAAAATTTTTAAAAATTTTTGGGGGGGGGGGGGGAAAAAGGGGGTTTGGGGGGGGGGGGTTTTTGGGGGGGGGGGTTTGGGGGGGGGTTTTGGGTGGGGGGTTAGTTTTTTTGGGGAAAAAAGGGGGGAAAAAGGGGGGGAACGGGGGGGGGGAAAAAAGGTTGGGGGGGTTTTGGGGGAGGGGGGGGGGGGGTTTTTTGGGGGTTTGGTTCCCGGGGGTTTTTTGGGGGGGGGGGTTTTTTGGGGGGGGGCTAAGGGGGAAAGGGGGGGGGGGGGAAAGGGGGTTTTTTGGGGGGAAACCGGGGGTTTTCGGGGGGTTTTTTGGGGGGGCCTAGGGTTTAAAGGGGGGAAAAAATTTTGGGTTTTTTTGGGGGGCCCCGGGGGGTTTTTTAAAAAGGGGGGGGGGGGGGCCCCGGGGGGGAAAGGGGGAAAAAATTTTGGGGGGGGAAACTTTTGGTTTTAAAAAAAAAAGGGGGGGGAAGGGGGGGGGTTTTTTTGGGGGGGTTTTTTTTTGGGGGGAAAGGGGGGAAAAATTTTTGGGGGGGGGTTAGTTTTGGTTTAAAAAAAGGGGGGGGAAAAAAAA